TAGTGATCCTTCCTTTATCAAATCAGTTTTATGGAGTTAAGTGAAATAAAAATAAATATTAAATTCAGTTCTAATGATATTAAAGAGAAATAAGATAATGATAATATTATAGAATCATAAGATTATAATATAAAGGTGAAGTTTTTTTTTTTTTTTATAATAATGAAAAAAAGGAAATGGAAAATAAAGCAGGGAAGGTTCCAAAATCATACTTGAGCTTAAGATGACAGAGAGCACGGTTGGTCCAATACACCGAAACATCAGGGCACAGTGCAATTGCCTTGAAAATCAAATGAGAAAAGGGATAAATAAAGAAACAAAGAAAATCACCAAAAGTTAAAAACATGAAAACATGAACCAAAGTTGAGAATACCCAAAAGCCCTTAAAGTACAAAGCGATGCAAGTGTGATTGAAACAAAACAAAGCGACACCTCACTGTAAGCGTCAATGGCATCTCCAAAACGATGATTCTTGAAGTAGTTGTTGCCATCCATTCGAAGTTGCTCCGCTTGTTTTGCCACAGACGACAAATAATATATGTTTGGAGGCATTGTTTCTTCTTCCTTTTTTCCTTTTCACTCTCTGCAACACACTGTTTAACTCTGTTCTGTGAGTGAACACGGTGAAGTGGGAGAGGAATGGACATTGGAGGGTGCAGAGGAACAACGTAAATGCGCGTGAAAGACTCTTGAGTAAGGTTGACCGGTGTGTGTAACTACGAGATACTGTTTGTTTGATTTGTTTGGCCACTAAATCCAGCTTCTTAAATGTGGCAAGGGTTACTACTTTGGAAACGAATGAATGTTGTGACTAGAGCTTTTGGAAAAAATAAAAAATGACATTAAGAAGGTATTTTCAACACAGCAAGCATGGACAATCTAAAATATAAATTTATTTTTACAAATTATTTTTAAACAATTAATTCATTTTACTCGTATAATTCTTTTTTTAATCAATTTTAAAATATTCATTATCTACCTTATTCTCTTTATTTATTTGTTTTACACTTATTAATTTTTTTAAGATACTTCGTCAAACAATTATAAAAAAATTAGTAATTAATTCTCTTTTCCTTTCTAATGAAATAAACATCAATCTAATATATTTATTTTTATCTTTGATCAAATAAAATTTCAATATAATATATTTGTTTCTTTTATAATGAAATAAATTTTTCACTAAATTAAGATTGGTTTTTTATTAATAGTCAATTTCATAATCTTATTTAGTCTTTCAAGGAATCGATTTATTCACTAAATTATTGGTCCATAGTGTTTGACAAGTTGTGTAACTAGTAATTATGTACTCAGCTTTACAAGAGGAGAGTGTCACAACAAGTTGTAATTTCGATCATGAAATCAGTAATTTTTTCAAAAGGGAATACATAACTTGACGTGCTTATGAAACAAATTTTATCATCAACCCAGTCAGAATCAAAATATTCAATCAACACTTCTCCATTTTGATGTGTAACATTTGATAATAAAATATCATAATTGATCGTTCCCTTTATATACTTTAAAACTCTCTTGGTTGTTGTAAGATGAGATGTTTTGAGTTTCTCCAAAAATCTGCTCAGCAACCCAACACCAAAATAGATATATGGTCTATTACAACACAAGTACCTTAACCAACCAATCATTTGTTTGTAAACTATAACATTTACATACTTCTATCTTCATTTTTGCCAAGCTTCAAATTTGTCTCGATTGGTGTAATTGTTGCATTACACTATCTTGTCCTAAATTTCTTGAGTATTTCTTTAGTATATTTACTTTAGTGAATCAAAATATTTTTCCTGCTTTCGATGAATTTCATTCCAAAAAAGTACGACAACTTCCCTAGATCGGACATCTCAAACTGATCTTGCATCCTCCTTTTAAAATTATTGATCGAATTAATTTTACTGCATGTAATAAATAAATCATCAACATATAAATAAACAATTAACATATCATCTCCTTTGATTTCTAGTAAATTGTATACTCGACTTCACATTTCAAGAATCTTTATTGTCAAAGATAACCATCGATTTTAGTGTTTCGGGCTCTCGGGACCTATTTCAAGTCATACAACGTCTTCTTCAATCTAAGAACCTTCTGTTTTTCTCCAGTGATCATAAACTCTGGTGGTTGTGTAGCATAAACTTCTTCCTTCAATTCACCATTCAAAAATGTAGATTTTATATCCAATTGACGCATCTGTCACCCTTTATAATTTGCGAGAGTTACAACTATTCTTATCATCTCCATCTTGGCAACGAGAGTATACACTTCTTTGTAATCTAATCCTTCTCTTTGTAGAAAGTCTTTCGCCACAAGTCTAGTTTTATGTCTTGCAACTATTTCATCCGACTTCAACTTTGCCTTGTACACCCATTTTACTCATATTAGCCTTTGATTATCTCAAATATCAATTAATTCCCATGTTTTATTCTTTTCGATTGACTACAACTCCTCTTTCATGGCTTCAATCCACTTAGGATTCTCGATCACTTCTTCAAAGAAAATTGGTTTAGTCTCGATATCAGCATTCAATGCCAGAGATACAAGATTATTCTCATGCTCCATTTCTCCAATCATCTGTTCAGTTGTTGTAACAATATCATCAATATTGATCACATAATCATTGAGTCTCGCTGGTGTTCTAATCAATCTTGTAGGTCAATTTGTCCTTCCTTCGATTCCTGAAATCAGTTGATTTTTGCCTTTTTCGACTTCCGAAAACAATCGATTTTTAACTTTGATCTCTGATCTCGATCGATTTCCTCCTTTTTTGAACTCAATAATTGATCAATTTTTGCTTTCGATTTTGACATCACTTGAGTCATTGGAAGCTAACACTCTTGCAAAGTATTCTTGAATGGTTTCTTGTATTCTCATTCATAACAATTTCTACTGACGACGCAAGGTTTAAAGTCACATCAATATATCTCAAACTTCTTCATCGAGTTTGCTAATAAAATCTTGTCAAAGTTGCTTTCATCGAGACACACTGATGAACGTAAAACATAACTTTGCAATCAATTTTTTTTTTCTCTTGAAACATCGCACGTTGTTCCTCAGTAGGACTCTCTACTAGTCCCTCATATCCATTCAGAACTATATCCAATACTTCTTGAAAATAAAAAATGACATTCATATTCATACAACAACTGTCGTAGTACCTATTTAGATTCTTGCTATCGAGTACTAGCATGTTGTCATGCAACCCAGTTTCTATTATCGTCATTCTTCTTCTTTCTAGATCTTAAAGCTTTTAATATCATTATGAGCGAAAAGAGGTCTAAATCAAGTATCGAGAGAAAAGCGTATAAAGAGAGAGACATTGAAAATGAAACTGTATTCACCACATAAACAAGTTCATACAACCATTAATATTTAAAATTTCATAATATTACCCAGTTTTTTCTTTGTCATCTTTTTCAAATATATAACATTATAATAACTATTTTTTGTTCATTATCTCTTCCTATCTTAATATAATAAAATTAATTATGTTTTATTTGATAAATGATAATATTATTTTATAAATGATGAAGAATTTTTTTTAAAATCCTTTTACATAATGATGCATATGAAATTATATATATATATATATATATATATATATATATATATTAAAAAATAGAAATATTACTCGAGTATTGAATAGTTCTTCAAATGTATGAATGCATAATAAATTAATGGATATTCAATAATTTATATTACTTATAATATTATTAGTTTAGACACTATTACAAGGGAGGGGCAAGTGATAATTCAACTTTATGGTTTATTCTTCTTTTTATTGAACATTATCACATTTTCGAAGACCTATCTATGTTACAACTTCGATCACGCATCACATACAAATAATAATTTGCATGTGCAAAATTCTGTAACCTGTCGCCGTTGTGAGGTGGTAAAAAATATGCAATTACATATTGGCTAAATAACATGAGTTTTCTTGTCACATTGATTTGGAGTAGTAGACTGGATAAATATGCTCCATAAGATACACAATAAAAAATTAGTTCAAACCGGTGAAGTTATTGATACCTGAGTCATTGTATCACAATTTTGACCTTAAGAATCTTAACATAAAAATTATAGCAATATCTTCTTTTAGAAAATCCTTCTGTAATTTATAGGAAATTCAAATACTTTAAATTTGAATTATTTTTATTTAAAATAATTTAATTTTTAAATGATTTGTTTAGATAAAAAAATTCAAATTTATTTAGATTTAATTTTTTTGTTTGAATAAAGTATTTTAATTATTATCAAATATAAAAATTATCATTATGTCATGAAACTCATAATTCTTATCTTTATCCACATGGATAAAATTAAACGAGAGATAAATAATGACATATTAAATCGAAGTTAAGTGAGATCGAGATAAATCAAATCAATAAAATTAAACCCGATCAAAACAAATTTCACTATATAAGGAAAGTTGGTTCAAGTCGGGTTAGAGACAATCATGTTGGGATGAGTCAGATCATGTCGGATTATGTTGGTATTAGTTGTGTCAAGATGAATCCAATCATCTAAAGTTGAGTTAGGTTTAAATGGGTCAAATCGAGTTGTAAGTGAATAAGACGAGTTTGAGATTCAATAGGTTGGACTAGACCAAGACAAGATGTGTCAACTTAAGAGAGGTTAAATCAAGAAGAATAGAGTCAGATCTAGATGAGTTAAGTTGATTAGATCAAGATGAGGTAAGTTTATTTTTAGTTAGTTAGGTTGAACATGATAAGAAAGGTTAGATTTTGTTAGGACAAGTTAGGTCAAGATAGATTAATATAAAATGAATTAGATCGAGATTGATCAAGTCCAGATGGTTTGAAACCAAATCAAAACGGATCAGATTCATACTAGTTCATGCTAATTTGTATCGAGCTAGGTTAACTCATATTAAAACAAGTTGAGATGAATAAAAAATATTTTAATTGAAATCAAGGGAAAGAAAATATTAAAAAAAACAAACATAAATTTAAGAAATAAAAATACAAAAAATTTCAAATTCTTATTTTTTAGATAAAATTTAGAATTTTCTTATTTTAATTAGTCAAAATACTCTCATCAATTTCTAAAATTCTAATTTTTATTTAAATTTTCTATTTAAACAACCAATTTTATCATAAAATATTTTAAATACTTTATTAAAATGAATTATCCTCCATAAATTCACCATTCAACTACCGTAAAAATATATAACTGATGAATAAAAAATTTAACTGTACAATAGCACATGCATAAAAGAAAAATAATGCATGTACAATAAAAATATTCACACAACCCTCATATTCGATAGTTGTTCAGTTGAAATCCCACCTACCCAATTTCTGAACTTGAGTGTTACATTAGATTATTTTTATGCGCATGCATCATTCCTCTAAATAAAAATACAAACTTTTAAGTTACAACAGATGAATAATTCAACTAACTCGAACAAAAAATTTCATTCTTACTTTACTGGCACGTGTCAGATGGTGATAACTGCTTCTGAATACGAGCTGCAAGCTGAGAAACTTTCTCATCATCTAGATTAACGCGTCGTCTTAGCAAACTCTATAAACAAGGAATTTTACTGTTGATTAGTACTCCCAAAACATAGTTATACCCATATATGCATATCGTTTCACACTTCGAAAAGGAAATGAAATATTACCTCAGAAGCCCATAAACAATCGTATGCTTTACGGGGAATTATGTGAATATGTGTCTGAAAAGAACGTTTTACAGAAAAATAAGCCAAATTTAAAAACTTGCAAAGTGTAGAGACCCAAGTAAATGTATGATTCCATAAAAGTACAAGTGACATCATTGAAGATCTAAAATCTTACATGATATATTACTTGGCCAGCAGCTGCCCCATTGTTTACCAACAGGTTGAATGCACCTGCAGGAATTCAAAACATCCTATAAAACTACATGGCGTGAGATATAATGTTATACGGAAGTATCAGTAGTAGATGATCAACTGATCTGATATGAAAATATCAACATCCTGAGTAATTATAATTTTCTCGAAACAAACAACAATAACAAAAGTTTGATAGCCATTGAAAATGAGTAAAGTACAAAAGATTCATAGAACCACATTATCATTGAAGTTAATAATTTTTCCGCACTGTTGATATAAAAGCCATAGCAAGGTAAACCATACAATATATACCAGCAGGGTATCCAACTGAATTTTTTAAATCTATGTCATATAAGAGAACAAAATTTAGCAGAGTTCAGATACAAGTATTGAATTACATACTGCAGCCAGTAGCCTTCATGATTGCATTGCCAATGAAGGGAACTTTTGAACACATTGCAGCTACCACCTGTATCAGGCCAATCAGGCTAGGTAAATAAGAACACTGCTACACGTTTGTCAAAAATGAAATAAATCAATCAGGACCCACACCTTTAACAATAACTACAGAGAGAAAACCTATCAAAAACCATTGTAATGTGGAGCATTTTGGGTAAATGAACAGGACCATTGTCTTACTATTGCACTTTACAGAGTAACAAATTTAGCAGAGTTTTCAAGCTTGATGCAGATTAAAAAGTACCACAAGGTTCACAATCATTTCTAAAGAAAAATCCCCTCACTTTTCACAGTCAATACCTTAGGGTTTAGGATTAAGACTTAAACAAGTCATTTCACTGATTAAGTAAAGATATCACGTGCATGCTATTTCTTAACTTTAAACAATAATGAATATACCTGTTTTCATCATTATAACACCACTAACATCTATAACAAGAACCTTCATAAAAGGAATTTTCCTCGTTTTGTTGGTTTTTCAAAAATGAAATTACCAGCTTCTGTTGTACTATTCGTGGTAAAAGGATTTATTATCGACTTAAAATTAGAGCATAAAGTCAGTAAAGAAGTTACAAAATAATAAATTCAACCTTCTTGTACCTATTGAACATTACTTACTGATGGAGGAGTAGCATCCAGTGAAGGAAAATGAGATTTTGGGATAATGAGGGAGTGCCTAGAAAACCAATGTAGATGTGAGAAGTAGAGAAACAAGCAAACACCACGCGGTATTAGTTGAAAAAGTAAATGGAATTGGATTGTAAAGATTTAGGCAAAAATGTACCAAATAAACACTATGCTATTGACAAACTAAGAAATTATCCAACAATAGTCGTATTTTTAACCATGGTTTTCAAATATTGTTTCAAATTCCTCTAAAAAATAAAATGTTTACATCACTTTTCTTCCAAATTAAATTGCACTGTTACGAATATTTTGTTTTGAAATGCATCACAAGTACCAATAAAAAGGTTGAATGGAAATTTTATGAAATAAAAATCTCTCACTTGTTTACTTTTCTTCCATTTATTCTTCTCATGATCCCTGTTATGCAGTTACCAACATTTCTCAGCTAAATACTCTACCCCTATTCTGTTCCTCAAATTTTTGTTCATGATTCTATACTTCTCTTCTATTATATATCCCCTTAGCCTAAAATATAATTCTTTGTTTCTCTTGCTCTAAATCTTCACACTCTTATTTTATTCTCGTAGGAAACAACCCCAGAAGTAGTCATCGCAACCACAGTGCTTTTTTGTAGAATTTAGGTTGGAAACAAAGGAAAGTGTACAAAACTAGATATATCCATTTGTGGCTATCTTAATCTAATGTTATTTATTTGGTATAAAACAAGTAGATTTAATATTTTACATATTTATGGGGGTCAGTTTTAGAATCCCATAGCCATTATTTGAGACTAGTGAAAACTCAGGCTTAAGTGTTCACATTTTTTATATAATTAATTTCTTTTAAAATATCATTTTAAATTTTATTTTATTTCTCTTTTCACTTTTTAAATATACCCAATTTTTTTCTTTATTTTACATTTTTACTATTTTTTAAATATATAAATCATAATAACTGTTTTTTCTTTATTAAACTATAACATTTTATTTTTCTCTTTTGATGACACCAAAAGAGCGGTTATAAAAGAAATTTCCTTCATATATAGTTATAGATAACGGCCTAACATCTACTTATGCATAGGGATATTTTATTCAAATTTCCAAGAGGAAAGAGCTATTATTTTGATGAATCCTCTAGTATAAAAAAGGGTTATCAATGAGATGAAGCACTGACCCACGGGATGAGATCATACAATGTGATTGAGAGACTAAAGAATTATCATTAGATGAAATTGCCCTGGGAGAGGGATCACCATAGCAGGATATGGCCATCAATGAGATGAAAACTTCCAAATTTGGTTATCACAAGTGTGAACAGTGTAATAGTAAAATAATCTACCACTTCACTATTTGGAAAATGGTTATATTTCGTCATCACCTTTAGATACTATTCTACGTTTGATAAATAAACTAAATTATCTTTACAATTATTAAATTATAAATTCCCTAACTTCTTATACATGTACATATTTATTTATTTTGTATTATTCACCTTCATTGCACTAAATGTTTCTTACTTAATCCCTAAAAGGAACCACTAGTATCTTGTTTTTTGTTTCCTTTTCCAATTAACTTCAGTTATATGATTACTTCCGTGAGTCTTCATCACTGACCTCTTTTATTTTTTTTAATCAGATAACAAGATAGTTGACTACAAGGTTAGCAGGAGTTGTAGTTCTCCCCATTACCATTGGATAGGTCTCTTGTTTTCTTGGGGATCTGACACTGCATCTGTAAAACATTACTTTTGGAAATTATCTTGGGTTGTACTAGATATTTTAATACACGAAACGTTGTATTCTGTTGTTCGTTGTTGTTGGTTGGTGAGTGTTGACATGTTGTGAGTGTGTGTATTTTACCATGTGCTTTCATTTTTGGAATGCTAATATTAGAGGGGAAACTATTGAAATTTTCAGCAAATCTTAAACACAGTTTCTTTTGGGATATTATTTTGCTAGTATTATGATAGATAGGCTTGCAAGGCTAAGTAGTTTTCATGTTAAGTTAGTTTGTGCACCAGAATGGCTTCAAAATTGCATTGTGACATGAAGGAAATGTAAAGGAAAAAAACTTAACGACATCAAATGTTAACTAATAGAAGCAATATTGATATTCAATATCACAACTCAAATATAAAACTGAAAATACATGCTTCTTATCTACTCCATGTACCATATGTATGTATGCTCATAAAATAGTGAAATAACAAAATACAATGTCTTACAATATACCTATATTGAATTGCACCTTGAGACATATGACACCTTACCCATGACTCAGCGGACTTGTATCCAGTATGCATAGGCACATATCATCTTCATAAAGCTGTTGATTTGACAAAATATTAATATAAGTAGGGTCGAAGTTATGAGAAAACATGGTTGAAGAGTATATTAGTCATAAGAAAAGTGTAACGACAACAATTAAGTACGTGGATTCAAAATATAAAATAAACATGTTCGGAAGAACTACAAATAGTGAAATTAACAATTTCAAATAGTTCCTGATGTCTAGGCATTAAAGCAGTAAAAGCTAAGGTAATGCTACCACTATGCACAAGATCCACGGAAGGGTTAAACCATTGTCCACGTCAGTAGTGTGCAATTTTTTTGCATTTGCAAGAGGTTACATCCAGAATTTGCAGAGAGATTAACCTAAAGGTTACACGTCCTGACCTCTAGGTCACATGTTGACGAGACTCCCTTTAGTCTAAGGCATCAACACCAACAACGGAAAACTCTAGTGGATTGGGTAGTGTTCACAAACTTTTGCTAGGATAAATATATGTACTTCAATTGTTTATAAATTTAAACTAAGAAAGTCTATCTACAAATACTTTTCAATAGTGGTAAAATTTCCAGGTTCTTGAAGCAAGGTTTCAATTATTCCAATTCCATAATACTCTCCCTCTCCCTATCTTTCTCTCTCTCTGATTAGCACAGTTTCAATATCAAACTCCAACCAACAAAATTTGAAAAAGTAACATAACCCCAACAAGATAAACAGTCAATGTTTCCAATTTATAAACACAATATTTCATTCCATCAATTAAAGCATTTTACTTTTTATCAACATAGTGCTTATCAAGCTCTATTTATTCATACTTTGAAAACAAAAAGTGCCAGTAAACATATTAAGTGCTGTTCATGCATGTTTAACAAACACATCAGTGAATTACCGAGGCAATTGGTTTAGCAGCTTTAGAAAATGCAGAATCATTTATAACATGTGGCAGAAAAAAATCACCACACTAACGAAGTTGAAAACTCATTGTACATACAACCCGTGCTCCAGCATTCTAATATTAACAACATCAACTTGCTCCTTAAACAATAATTCAGAGCAAGGAACAAGTAACTTTAGAGTTTGGATTGCAATTCCACAAACATTATCATTCTGGACCAAATTGATGGCATTAACTCTGTAGATTCTAAAAACCTTTGAATGAGGATTTATTCCCAAACACTAATCTTTGACCGCAATGTCCAAAAATAAAAACAATGTGTACCTTCAAAGCTGGTGATTGGCCACGAATAATCTTGCAGAAAACGCAATCGTTTAGGAGAGTGGGGTTTTCGGTGTCGGAATCAGCGGCACAGAGCGAAGCCGAAACAAGCGGAGCGGAAGGATCCGGAGGGAAGGGGGTCGGATTGAGATGGGCGCACAAAACGGCAAGCCGTCTTGCCTGGACGGACATGGTATCGTGGATTTGTAAATGAAAAAAGCTAAGAATGTATCTCTGTGGCGTGTTTGAAATTGGAGAGGGGAAAATGCAAGGAAACGACCATGATTGGTTCGAGTTTTGGAGTTTTGTTTGAGTTGGTGTGGCTTATCCACACACACGCAGGGACGATAGATGTGGTGTGGTGGGTGTATGGTCATTGGTCAAACCATTTTCGCTTCTCTTCTCTCCTATGTCAATGTTGTTTCTTATATATTTCACACCACCAAAAAAGCATCTATTATTACTTTATTATTAACCTACGGGTGTGAAAGTACGTGAGATAGTTATCCACAAATGAAGAGAAAAATATATGTACAGTCTCTTTAAAAAAACTAACAAATTAACAATTCTTTTTATTAATATAATAATAATAAACTAAATTTTTGTAAATTTTAGTTATTTACGTATTAGTGTTATAACTTAAATATTAAATCACAATTTTTATTTATCTTCAATTTTAAAATTAATTAAGCTTATTTGTTTATAATGTTCATTTATTTATATATATATATAGAGGATAGTTGATGGAATATTGCAATCACGTAAATATTGGTTTCTAATATTAAAGTCTTAGTACTGATTAATTTTTTGTCTTTTATATTTTTTTTCTTTTCTTAAGAAAGTAGGTATATCCTTATTTCTAAATATGTTTTTAAATAGTTTATATAGAAATTTTTGTAGAATAATGTATCCTTTGAGAGATGTGAAAGTATCTCGAATGAACAAAAGACATGAGATGATCGAATTTGGTAGAAGTCTGGTTAGACATCTTTTCATAATCTTATATGAATATAAAAACTATACAAAAAATTTTAACCCTTTAAATGATTATCGCATCTTTTAATAAATACTACTTAAGACATCGGATGACACTCTTATAAGAAAACTACTCTATAAGAGAGGAGTAAAAAAACTTATTCGGAAGGAAGAAAGAGAAGGAGAAGGAGAGGGGGATAAATTTATGGTTAATGTGTATTATTATTAATTAAGATAATTATAATAAACAAAGGAACACTTATAATGACACGGTTGTGATATAATTTTTTTCTTGATTTAAAAAATAAAAAATAAAACATAGAAATATTATTATAATTGAAAAAAAAGAGTGAGATGATAGATGTAGATTATATTTGGAGTTGAATGATGCCAAGGTTATAAATATCTTGTCCACACAAATTTTTTTAAAAAAATTGTCCTTTGAAAGTTTTTTCTTTATCTTACTTTATCTTAGAAAGTCTCAATCAACATATGATTTATTTTTTCTTTAAATATAATATTAGATTTTTATAATATTTTTGTAACTCTCTTATCATATTCTTAATACTAATTTGAGTATTGAAGTTTTTTTAAATGAGTTTTATTTGTCAAACTTCAAAGAAGATACTCTTATTTACAACTTGATGAGTGACTTTTTACACTTTCTCATTGACCTTCACAGTTCAAGTACAAACATTTGATAACATTGTAGGGTTCATTTTTTGCAACCATACTTATTTTATGGTTTTAACTCAAAGCCGGATGATATCAAACTTAAATTGAGAGACGGATCCCTTAAATTGTATTAATAACCTTAAGAAACACATGAGAAAATTATAATAGAATAAATACTTAGAAATTTAACATTTATAATAATAAAATGATAATAAACTCCTAAATACCCAATAAAAAAATTATTAAAGACTTGAAATCAATATGAAAATAAAATCAAGTCAAATTATAATCTCTACGCAGTGAATAAAAAATTCCCACCCAAAGACCTCAATCACATAAACTGAGTTGCATAGATCACCATTGATAGACAGTACTATTGCATCAAGTTGAGCACCAACCATATGTAATCACCAACACCAACCACTAAAGCAACTATGAAAACATGATGTGAAGCTCGAAATTTTAAGCACAAATCAAAAGCACGAGTTGGAGCTCAAACGTCCAAACATAAATCAAAACCGCAAAACAATACATCAAAAAAGTTATGCAGAGAAAAAAGCATCAAAAGGGAGATTACAAATGATGCAAATCCTAACAAGTAACTTAACATGTTTTATAACATACACCCAATTCTCGTCAGTGTACCCACAACATTGATATATGTGAGGATGACAACGAACATTCCTTGAGTTTAAGGATCATGGAAACCCTCATTCCACTTGAAGATAAATTTAGAAAAATACTTGAAAATGTACAAAACACAAGTTTATCCATATACAAGCAGTATAGTTACACCAATTTTTCCCTACCAAATTATGAGGACTTGCATTACAATAGTATTATACTCTCCCCTATAATTTAGTTAATTCATATTATATGTTAATTGATAGATTTTTGACTCGATTTGCGGGCAATTACATGCACAAAGCCACATCAATAGCTTTAGAAAGTGTGAAACAAGATGAGGGAGAGTTCTTAGTTTCAAAGACCAATTTGCCAAAGTCTTGAATATCATTCTCAACCTAAACCTACATGTCGCCTTACACACGATACAAGTCATGGTAGAGCTTATACCCTTTATTGATAGCTTATTTGCATTTTTCCTATGGGACTTTGATAACCCACAAACATGAGAAACTAATTAAATCCATATTGAGAAAAATGATTCCAGATCTAAAAAAAAAAAAAACTTAATATTGGAGCTCATACAAGTTCATCAGATTCGGACCCAATTTAAAAAAAATCTAGAGTACACAAAATTTGATTAATATAATACTAGTAAAGAGTATATATTATAAGAGGCCTTTAAACTAGAATTATTGTGTGTTTCACTACCTCTCCCCTCCTTAGTCCATGTTGATACAACCAAGTACTATTGTTTTCATCCTACTACTTACTAGTGTCAGCGAGACAAAGATATAATCGAAAAAAACTCATTTAATTTGGTTCTTTCACACACTTCATTCAGAACGATCTTAATCAAGGTTGGAGACAAGGAGGATACCATTGATAAGTATGAGGAGGACAAGGAGGTTATCAAGGAAGAGGAATGAGAGCTTAAAACTAGGAACCTTTAACCTATAATCAAATCATTTCCCACATCAAAATCACATTGAAGAACAAGACCAACAGGATAAAAAAGACTTAACCCCCACTTAATGTTTAAGGTGTTAAGGGTGTCAAAATAGGCTTAGCCTAATGAGTTGATATGATAAATAAGTCAGACTAGGCTAAGAAAATTATGGCTTAAATTAAATCAGGCCTATTTTGGTCCGGTCCGTTTAGGCCATGACCTATATGGACTTAAACTAGGTTAGTTCATAGACTTATGAACCAACCCGTTTTTATAAAATAATAATTATGTTTTAAATAAAAATAAAAGTATATTTCTTTATTAATAATATATATATATATATATATATATATATTATTTGACAAGAGATTTATGTATTTTAAGAGCAAATATCAAAGTAAGTCTCTAATGGTTAACATTAATTATTACTTTAGATCAATAAATTACTAAAAAATGAATGATGATAATGAAAAATAAGTTTTTAACTCTTATTTTGATATTTAATGAATTCATTCTCTTATACTTTATATATTAAATCATTATATCTTAAATAAAAACTAATTTCATTAATATAATTTAAAATTTTAAAATATTTTTTCTTTATTTTATTTTTTATTTAAATATTTTTTATTAATTTTTTTGTAAAGATATGTTAATAATTTTTTAAATTTTCAATTAGGTCAAAATTGACCCGTTAGCTTGTTGGCTAACATAGGGTTAGAATAATTTAAAAATTATGACCCGTTTTAAAATATAGGTAAAACTAGACTATCTATTTTTTTACTTTATCTCGTAGGGCTAGGGCAAGCTAGGTTGAGTCACCTGTTTTGATAGCTCTAGTTACCATAGTTTGAGGATTCACTGGTGGTGGATAATCAAGTTAAGTACGGAAATGAAACCTTTAAGTAGTATATCATATTGACACTTTTCCTAGGAAAACTCAATCGTCAATTACTTTTGTGATAATGCTTTAACTCTCACTACCCACCACAAGATGACCTAGCAGTCATTGTTATGCAAATGACTAATCGAAAATTAAAAAGACCCTTATCAACTAAGGGAGCTCAACTGACGTTTCATAGTGGTAAACATTTATGCAACCTGATCTTCTCTTTAACTTAATCAACCTATAGCCAAAACCGTTACTTGAATTTGCAGGTGAACGACCATACACCCGAAGATACATTGACCTTCAATTTGGTGGATTGTAGTTTATGTGCTATGGTTTGATACATACTAGTTTAGGCTAAGACATCTTATAACATGATAATCGGTAGAAACAGTGACGGATCTTGACCATTGATCTTGGAGGGGTCAAATAATATATTATTAATAAATAATAAATAAATATAAAAGGAAGTAAGAAGATGAAAGGGTAAAATGATAAAATTGTAAATATATACTTAAATATATTAAATGATCACTAAGTTTGAGGGGACAAAATCATAAATTATATGAGAGTTAAAAAACTGAGGAGAAGTTAAGAGGATAAAATTGTAAATATACAAGTAAATATATCAAATGTTCACTAAGTTTGGGAGGGTCAAAATCATAAATTACATGGGAGTTACAAAACTTTGGGGGGGTCACGGTCCCCCTCAGCTCCAAAGAAGATCGGCCACTAGGTAGGAAGATGAAATAGTTTAAATTTATTATAAAAAAAAACTTCCTTGAAAAACCTAAGATAATTAGGTTTTTTTATTGACCCATATCTACCCATGCAAATATTTTAACCTAGTATTTAGGATAACGACGACTAAATGGATGAGATGCAAAGGGAAGCATTTATTTAAGGAATTTAGCATTTATGAGGAGAATAAGGCGCAATGATGAAAGCATGGGTTGAACAACTTTTGAATAAAACAAAATAAAATATTAGCATTTGTATTGTGGTCGAGAATAAGAGAAATATACATTCATTGAGATTCATGTTACATTCTCTTAGGGTGTATTGTATTTTGTCACTGACAAAAGTTACAAATGTATCAAAGGGAATAAATCAAGACGTAGAGGAAGTGTTAAAGGAAACAAGGATAGTGGAAAAGAAAATCGAAGCTATTGAAAGTTAAGGATAAAGAATGAAAAAATTAAATCAGAAGTAAAATGTGAACTTAAAGCGATAAGTTGTAATGTGTGAACGAAAGTACAAGTTGCAAATGTTTAGAAAATGTTTGAAAGTACATATCATTGAAAAGGAGATTGGGTTGAACAAAAGTGAAGTTGAGAAAGGGTACAAATGTGATAAGTTGAACATAAAAGATCGTAGAGTTTAAAATATTAAATTTAGGATTGCGAAACAAAATGAACATGAGATCGAGAGAAAGTTATGCAATCATGAGATATGCAAAAATAGTTACCGTCTCATTACGTGATATGCAGGTCTATGGATATTACGTGGTAACAAAGTGAATCGAGGGGAAAGGAAGTAGTTATAGGAAAATAATTATTCATGGATTTTTTTTATTTCACATTTTTTCTGTCCTCATCCTAATTTTATTGTTTCTTAATTTTATATATTTAAATGTTTTAGCGGTTATATAGGAAAATATAAATATGAGAAAATAAATGTAATTGATGTAAATTTCAAATTATACGAAAAAACTTATGTTATGCAAAAACTACTACGAATAAAGGACAAATATTTTTTAATTGAGTTTTTTACAATTTAGATCGCGCTATATTCGTTGATTTACTTTATCAATTCATGTTTTATATGTGGTATTGTATTAATTTTTTTTTTATACAATTTAGTTATTTTGCATATTTATTTTTTGTTACAAATTTACTTTCCCGCCATTATTTTAACTATATTTTTATTTTTTTTACAATTTACTTTAAATATTTTAAATTATATGTGAATGATCTTTAATTAAAATATATTTCATGTTGTTGACGTTTATTGCATATAAACCCAAAAAAATTATATTTATTAGTAAAATATTTTAAAAAAAATCTATGTAATATTTAAATCAAACATCAAATCAAATACACTAACACTAAAATCAGACCATAAGAACCCACAATAAATTCTACCATTGCGAATAATTTAATTCTAACTTGCCATCTACAATTTAATTGTAGCCATATATAGTGTTATCATATTTATCAATTTTCAATCTTCTGGAACTGCATGATCCAAGTAAGTGTGTTTGTATTAGCTGCATTCAGCTACAATATCAAATATACAGCAAAATCGTAACTGCAGTCACAATCGAAAATCTTGGTATCTTTTAAGTGACTATAAAATCAATGATAAACATAGATAGTTTGCATTCAATAATTAAAAAAATGTCACATAAAGGTCAAATAAATCGTTTTTTCTTGGTAAGAGTTATAATAAACATTTAAAATTTAAACAATATGTAGTAATTAATTTTTGTCAAAAAAAAACCATGAATAATTGATTCTATTTTTCTAAAGAATGAGAATTGAATTAAGCAAATACTTTGAAGAAAGTACGAGTAGTTTTCTGAATAATATATTTTAAGCAATGTGGCGTTGTAGAGAGTGTTCCTCTTTGCATTTTCCTCTCATGTTTCCATGTTTGGGAAAACCATTTTCTTAATATAGCCTCCTCCGCTGGTGTTGAACTTTGAACGTCGCTTTTAGGGTTATTCACGCGCAATCATCAACCCTTCTAGAGTTGTCGCGTCGGGTCCACATAGCGGAAAAACCCGTTTAACACCCAACCCGCCAGTTAAACCCAGCCATGTCACCACAAAAAGAAGAGAGAACCGCACGCTATAAAAACCTCTCCAAACAAGAGAAAAGCCAGAGCGAGCCTGAGTCAGCCGAGAGACACCGTTGCGGGGTGGGTTCTCCCGCGGTGTCCGGTCAGCGATGTACAGCGGCGACAGCGATAGCTGCAGCGACATCGGTGACCAGGGGCAGCGCAGGGAGACCCTGGACTTCCGGAATGTGAAGGTGGTGTCGGCGGTGGGACGCGGCGCCAAGGGCGTCGTGTTCCTGGCGCGGGCGTACGGCTCCTGGGGCGAGGAGTGGGTAGCGCTGAAGGTGGTGTCCAAGGCGCTGCTGAGGAAGAAGAACAAAAACGAAGGAGGTTGCAAGAGGGTGTCGTTCGAGAGGCACATACTACGTCGTTTAGATCACCCGCTATTGCCCAGGTTCCGAGGCGCATTCGAAACCGACCAACTCACAGGCTTCCTCATCGATTATTGCCACGGCGGGAACCTGCATTCGCTCCGGAAGAAGCAACCGGAGAAGACCTTTTCCGAAAAAACCATAAGGTACCACCCAGATCTTTTTCCATTTTTACCTTTTTCAATCCGAAAATTTTACTTTAATAAATTTGTTGAATTTAATTTTAAATTAAAAACAGAATTTAGTTTTCATATATTAAGAAAAATTTGTAAAACAAGCTTAATTGTAATTTTACTCCTTATACCTTACAGAATTTATAATTCTGTTCTCTATTTTTTTTAATGCAATTCAATCTCTTAACTTCTACTTTTTTTTATATAGTTTTGATCCTGATTTTTTTTACGCAATTACCTAAGTTTTGATTATTCACAACTTTAATCGTTTTCCAGATTTATAAATGAATTAAGTACGTCATTCTATGAAAAAAATAACTATTTTTTTTTTCTAATTTTACTTCTGTGATGTCCAATGTAACAAACAAATAGTTGTGATGAAAATTGAAGGAAGATATAGATAATTAGAAGCCGAAAATCAAAATTGCATAACAAATCTAATTTTGCTCTGGCTATTTGTTGTTTAGTTTATATGTATACTATTTTGAGTATCATGCAGGGTTTAAAAGATGAATGACACTTAAAATTTTGCTTAGTTATATGCATACTATTTCTGTTAATGAGTTTCACTACAATGGTCCTTTTAGATATGGAAATAGTCATTTTTTCATACAATACACATGTACTACAGTTTATTATCTCTTTACAAGGATGATTGTATATTTATTATTTTTTGTGTTTTTCTTTTGATCGGGATAATATAATCTACTTTCTAGTTTTGTGTTATCCTTCTTGTTAGAGTTTTATTTTCATTGATCTCTAAAAAAATATGGTATAATATGATGAAAAAGTTGTATATTTTGTAAAGGTTTTATGCTGTAGAATTGGTTCTGGCATTGGAGTATTTGCACAATTTTGGAGTAGTGTACAGAGACTTAAAGCCGGAGAACATCATGATCCAAGAGTCAGGTCACATAATGTTGGTGGATTTCGACCTCTCCAAGAAGCTAAATCTTAAGTCAGCTTCTTCGAGTGGCAACTCGTCACCGGGTTCTGAGTCGCCACCAGAGAAGGATCGGAGGAGACGACGATTATCACGATTCAATTGTTATTGTCATTCAGGGATATCCTTGAATGACTTGGATATTCCGAGTCAACTTAATGCAACGCCAACACGTGGCAGCTTGTCGAACTCGGTGGAAAAGTCCAACTCATTTGTGGGAACAGAAGATTATGTGGCACCTGAGGTGATATTAGGAGAAGGACACGACTTTGGAGTTGATTGGTGGTCATTGGGTGTTGTTTTGTACGAGATGCTTTATGGGGTCACGCCGTTTAAAGGTGCGAATAGAAAAGAAACATTCCATCGTATCATAACTAAGGAGCCTGATTTAATAGGTGGAACAACGCAATTGAGGGACTTGATTAAAAAGCTGCTTGAAAAGGATCCTAATCATAGGATCGAGGTGATTGAGATCAAGAACCATGGTTTCTTTAAAGGTGTAAAGTGGGACACAATCTTACAAATTTCACGTCCACCTTATATTCCCCATAACGAAATCAAAGATACATCAGGATTTTCAAAAAAAGAAGTAGAGTCATTCGTTCATGGGATATTTTTTCCAAAGAGTAAAGATGAGGAAGATAAAACTAAGAAAGGAGACACAAAAGAGAATGAAAATCAAACGCAGAAGGAAGACACTAACAAAAAAGTGTGGGTTGATAAGTTGAATCAAGATCCTGTTAAAGAAGAAAATTTTTTAATTTTTTGATTTGATGGACTTTTTTAATGTAAGTTTGTTATGAAAATGTAAATCTTATGTCAATAATATTTATGTAAAAATGGGACTATTTCTTATCTATTCTATTGACAACAAAATAATCTACTTAAATTAAAGTTACAAAATATTCTTTTAATCAATTATTAAATACGGATATATGCATTATGTTGAATAGTTAATATTTACATCTCGTCAATATTGCATCTTATAATATTTTAATTTATTTTGTGGTCATCTAAGTGATTTTAGAAGGGTTTTTTTCGTAAATATTAATGCCTAATGATTTTTGTACTATTAAATCTTTTTGAGACCTTGACTTTTATCCATGTAAATATTGGTAGTTGTATGAGCGGACAATAATTAACGTGTCTTGCAAGTTCTTCTAAGTGAGATTGACATTCACAAACTTTAACAAATCCTATATGCAAAAATTATTAAAAGAGATGGAGATTAATCAAATGTGGATTTATAAATAGATTAAAAGACTTTGTTTAATTCAATCAAATATGGATACTTTGTCTCAAAATATAATACCTACTCAAGTTTTTTGCCAAAATATTATGTGTTTGTAAACATGATATATCTTATTCAATAAGCACATTTAAGTGTTTCAAATTTTCTGCCAAAATATTTTGTGTTCATCTAGCGTGGGGTAAATAAATAGTAAAATTATTCCTACTCCATAAGTACATCAAAGTCTTTCAAACATGAGAGATATATCTTGAGAATGTAAATATGATATGAGAGGATTGAAAGAGAATTCTCAACACAATGGAGAATAAGACACTTCAACCTTTCAACATGTCATGCAAATGATATATGATTTGAAACAATAAAATTGATGAGTCCATGATAACCAATAAGGATGGACAAAAGTGTCCTAGGAGGATAACTAGAAATATGACTAAAGGGACACCTCCTCTTCTCCCTCCTCTTTCTCTTTATTTTTCATTTCCTTAGATCCTGAATTTTGTTAGGCAAATGTTTTAATTTTTATATTGAAAGTTTACTTTTGAAACCTCCCTTTTTACTTTGGGAGGCATTTTCTTTTTAGAATGAACAAAGGAGCTTTTTGTTAAAGAATATTAAGGTAAGGGAATGGTGGGGTAAAATTAGGGGAGGGAGGTCACCCTTCACCCTTCTAGATTGTGTATTTGGGTTTCTTAATTGTATTTTCTTATAGGTCCTCTTATTTTAGTTAGCTTTTTGAGATAATATAGTGTGTTTCTTTTAGCTTTGTGCTTAGAGTGGTCTTCCTCCCTATATGTGCTAGGAGCTTATTTTAGTCACTTGGTATCAACCACCACTTATCTTAGTTGGTCTATCCTCAAAGTGGTGTGATTCATGATCCTCCTCATTTCCATTAATTCTCATTGTCACAATAGGAGCACGACGGGACAACAAAAAATATTCAAAAGTTTTGAAAATGGAGTCGTCATCATAGTTTATTAAGGAAAACTATAAAAAAAAGTCATTTTTTTGAAAATGGTCTCGAAACCAAATTTGGATTCAAGATTCGATTATGTATAGGGAAAATATTAGCACTTTACAACGTTCATCCTAAGATGATTACCCATAGTTGAATGTGTAAAATAAATATTATTTTTAAAAAATATTTATTTTTCCCTAAATATTAGATAAAATAAATAAAAAGAAAAGAAAAAAACTTTTGAAAATATTTTATTTGGGTATGACAAGAATTGACCTTACTCTTACGTATTTCTATTGGTGATAAAAAATCAAGGTTACGTAGTTATTTCTAGAAAAAGTTTGGCGTGGTTGATTAATGTTTTAAAACTTTTTTGTATTGTTGAAAGGGATTTTACATTATTTTTTTTTAAAGAGTTACAAAGTGTAAGACAATGCGGACGACGTATTGGATACACTTGCAGCGAACAAAAATATTGAACGGTTATAAAATAATATGATCAATCATATATATATATATATATATATATATATATATCCTAAATAATTTATTTTGATAAGACATGTGATGACAAAATTTATTTATTTTCAAAATATTTTCTACAATAATTAGCATTAGGTATAAGATAATGCCGACAATTATACATACACCTAAGACAATATAAAGTGCTTAGTCATATTAAAGAGCTAGTACACAAGATAAAAAAAAATATGGGATTAAAGTTTGACATCAAAAGAAACAGTTGGACATTCGATTAAGCTGATCAAGTAGAAAGCAATGTCGAAAGTCATTGAATTTGAAAACCAAGGTTGAAAGTCATTACTTGATATGAATGTAGTTTTTAGATGAAAAAACGCAAAAAGATTTTCACTAAAAACGAAGATAATCGCTTATTTAAGTGTGAAGATACGCTACCAAAGATTCAAGAGAGGAGATGAGATGAATAAATCACAAAAGCAATAAAAAACAAGGTTGGACGAAGTGAAGGAAAATAAGAAGAAGAAAAGGAAATAAAATGGAGGAGAGAAGTGCGGAATGGAGGAGTGACCTGCTACTTGGGGATGGACCAACCAAAAATAAGTTTTGGTTGTTGACACGTGAACCAAGGTTTAAGATAAGACAAATTAAATAAAATTAATAATTTCATGTTTCTATTTAAAGCAAATGAAAAATATATTATAGATATCATTAAATAATTTTAAAATAAATAAATTGGTTTTAAGTTGAAGTTATATTTTAAGCCATTAGATAAAATAATTAAAAAATATATTAAATATTTTTTAACAATGTCTTAAACCTCTAATAAATGTTAAATAATACTAGAGTGTGATATATTTTAGGGTGGTTGTTAATTGAAAAATCTAATAAATTATTATAAAATAATACTAAATTTTGTAACGACTTTTAACAATTAATAAAAAAAATTTATATAAATGTTAACATTTAAAAAAAATGGACATATTTTACTTTTATAAATCTAATACATTTTTTAATTGTAAAAAATATTAAATGTAATGATATTTAACTCTTAAAATTTATAATTTTAATCATCATAAATATTATACAAGTTCTTTATTTACATTCCATGGTTCACGATCAAGTTCAAGTTCTTGTATTCTTAGTCTTCAATTCAAATTAATTCTTATTGATACAATTTACATTTCTTTCTATTTTTAATCTTCTTTTTATAGCTTTATGAATTGTTAGGTTTATTTTCCTAGTTGAATATCTGTACCATTGTTAATTTGTTAATATTCTAAACAATAATAGTTAAAAAAAAATTGTGTAATTGCATTTTTTTATTGAATTAGGTTAATTATATTATGAATCAATTTTAGGTTAATGTTATTTTTTTAATCATGTTTCTAAATTAAGTTAAATGCAAAACATCAATGAGATATATATAATTAAAATATGAAATGTGAAATCTTATTTTGTGACACAAATTAAACCTAGAAATCAATGAAAATAAATGAAGATAGAGACTAGGAAATGAATCATTACTATGATATAGAACTTTAATATTACTTTTTTCTTGGATATTAAATTTAATGAACAACATAAATTTCTCAAGAGTAACTCTTTATATTAAAATTAAGTCTAGAATAATTTATCAATGGTCTTTAAGAACTACATGGTCATTTTCACATTTTTCATGTTATAGAATTGCTTGATCCTTTCAATGACAAAACATGTTTCAATCAAACTTCATAAAATATGATGTTTCATTTCTCGAGAATATTCTCAATTGTAGTTGTATTATTTAATTTCTATCTTTTAGACTCAATATTAGTAAGTTGTGTATCATCATGTCTCTTTGACTCATGCTGATCATATAAGAGTCTATCATCAGGTCTCATTGAGTCATGTCTATCATATAAGGTCTCTCATTACATTGATATAGACTGAGTACCAAAGTAGGCCTTTGTATTATGAGATTTTTATGTTATGAAAAAGGTTCAACTGAGCATATATCCCAGTCTCTTAGTCTTTTCTACTCAAGACTAGTGAATTGTGTATTATCAAGTTTATTTGAGACTTTAACCTATGATCGATGAAAATTAGTAGTACATGAGTGGTAGAGCTCGATCAAGGACTAATGACAATAGTTAAAGTTAGGATTGTCAAAACGGGTGGTCGGTTCAACCTGACGTGACCTACAAGTTAAGGAAAAACAATTGATGGTCTAGCTTGACCTATAGGCTCCTTCTTCTTGCACCCCCATAACACATGTAAAATGAACAAAATACTCTTATACTAATTTTTGTTTGAAACCCTAAGAAGAATCTTCACTCTTGTGTCGCTCTTCTACACCTCCATATCCCTTTGCATCTCCATATCTAATACATCTTTGCTTTGTCGCCTCTCCACCTCCATTGAAGGATGTTTCTCGTTGATAAGGTTAAATGGTTTATGCTTTGGACCCGTTACAAGATTCTCATCCCAATTTGCATCAGTTTTGGAATAGGTAATTTGGAATGCATTTTTGGATTGTGTGTTCCAAAAATGAGTTTTGAATTGTGTGTTCTCGAAATGAGTTCTAAATTTGAAACTACAATTCGAAATGCATTTTTGAAAATTTGAATATATTGATGAATTTCTTTTGGTGTAGTGTAATTTTCATTATGGTCGGGACTAGGGGAGGTAGTTCTCAACTAGTAAATCACATTCGCCTAATTGCCTTTGTAATGCTTAGGGTTTACTCGGGAATCAAGTGTTGTAGATTAGCAACATCGTGTTGTAGATTAGCATCATCATGTTGTAGATGAGAAATATCAAGAACCTCCAACAAATGATCAATCTTTCTCCGGAGGGCCTATAGATACTTCATTGTTAACCGAGATATGATGATCAGTGGCTCACAGATTATGGGAGAGAGTGATAAGTATCTTTTACCTCATAAGTTAGTGTGTCTAAATGTTAATGTTTTAAAATTTAAAAGTAATTGTTTTTTTCTTGTAGGATCGTGGAAAATTAAAATATGTTTTCAATGGCGGAAAAATGAATAAGTTTAGAATTCCACACACCTGCAAATTGCAGTTGCAATTCATTTATCTAGGTT